CAATACCCATAATCAATTGAGTATTGATTACATTTATAAAAAATCAATACTAATTAATAAATTAAAATAAAATCTTCCACATCCTGTAGGGTAATTTTCTCCATACAGGCTTTTGTGCTGCAATGTTAATGTCAAATGGAACTGGTCCGTTCATGTCATGTGACCACTGACCAATAGAGAGAAGCGACTCCATGTGTCCAAACACACTACACATCTTTGTCCCTTCATTACAGCAGTTAAACTATTGTGTAAAACTGAAGTGATGTAACTTGTTATGATTCACCGTACCTCAGCTTTTCAGGGACAAGTATTTGTACTTGACAAGTACTTCATTGTTACTGCACCAACTGTTCCTTCCCCTCCACACACGTCCACTCCCCGTCACCCGCCCTCAGCTCTTCAGTGGTATGGAACCGGACCGTCCTCCAGCCCTCGTGTATTCATAAAATACATCTGCTTATATTATACTTCTTGGCATTTCAACAGAGCGCTGCATTCCAGCAGAGTGACTTATGGGAAACATTGTCTCCCACACTGCCCCCGGGGGCCGGGCCTCGTGTTGCAGGATGGTCTGGGGCTGATGTGTGTAACTCAGGTCAGCTGAAGACCCGGGGCCGCTGTGATGGACCGCGGTCTATCACAGAAATTGGGGGGAAAAAAAAAATAAGGTTTACGCGGCTCTGCTAACTAACCTCCCCCCCTCTAATCCCCCCCTCCCCCCGTGTTGGATCCTGCGACCTCTGACTAACGTACATCCAGCCTTGTCTTAAAAAGCCCCGAGGACTTACAAGAAAGTGTCTTTTTCTCCTGCCGTATAAAAGGTAAAAGTTTTTTTTTTTTTTCCTGGACGTTTTGACCCACAGACGCCCTGGCAGGAGAGACAAAGGCGTGGGGCGGGGTAACGAAGGCGGCTTCACCTTGAAAGGCCAACACTTCAGAGCCGGGGAAAACCGCAAAAAGCAATTAAAAGTATTGATGGAACTTCAATAGCTCTTAAACAGAGCTGCCAGACACCTCGGGGCAAGAAGCACACTAATCTTTTTTCTCCCCTCGTCTCTCCGCCGCTCCACTCTCCCCCTCCTGCATCAACAAAAACTAAATTGCCCCTGATTTAAACAACATACTACGACAAAAGGCGTACGTAGCAGAGTGACACAGCGCAGGTGGACGGAGACACACAGACACCGAGGCGCCGGGAAGTTGAGTGTGACAATGATAGTAATTAAAGTTTATCTAATCCAAAGGAGCTGATTAGCCCCTCTAATTGGCTGTGTATGTTCAAGCATGTAAATGTGTGTGTGTGTGAGTGTGTGTGTGTGCAGTGGAGGAACAGTTCTAAATGAACCGCTAATGTCGTTGCTGCATGTGCACACCATTTACCGAGCAGACGCTAATGGAGCTTTTACAGAAACACACTCTCCAAATAGTCGTCTTCCATATCACAAAGCGGGAAATCGAAGACGAGTTGGAGGAGGGAGGAGGGGTGAAGAGAGAGAGGAGAGAGAGAGGAGGGGAGGGGCCCAGAGACAGGGGCTGGCTGCTTCCTGCTCAGCCTCAGTAGGACTACACTGTCAACAAGCAAGGTGTTTACCCATAATCCTTTACTCGGGCCAAACACAACAAGCAAAAAAAAAAAAAAAAAAGTTTTTTTAAAAGTCCTACCTTTGCACTGGTTGGTGTTCTTGTCCAGAATGGCCTTGGTTGACACTATTTTTCCATACCTGCAACGATAAAACAGTAAACATGCAGTTAGTGTTTGGGCTCCAAATGATCAATGTGACCTTTTGACAGCAGGGGGCATTGTTTTTTTTTCCTCATACTGTCTGCCATTTATATACAGTGACCACATTTACAGAGGAGCACAGAAATGTCAGAAGTCACAGGGAGGAGACGGCAGCGCGGGTTAATAGCGTCACGTGTACGGCGGACTTCAAACAGATCCGCGGCCTCTGACATTTGACGAAGTCGCTGAAAAGTTTCACAGGGTCTAAGAAAAGCCTAACGTGGACACAGATCTGCAGATCATTGGCCAGCTTAGCTGCTCTAAAGCAGCTGCTTAAAGGGTTTACGTAAATAAAACCACACCATGATCACATGCTAATGCTAATGCTAATGAATTATCCACCTAGCGGTCCATATGGAGGACATGGGAACAACAATAATTAAATAATCTGTCGCTTATTTGAACTCTTGAATTTGATCCACCTAGCGGTCCATATGGAGGACAACAATAATTAAATAATTTGTTGCTTATTTGAACTCTTGAATTTTAACTTTGAACTGATCCCTGAATATCAGTAAAAGTCATCACCAAACTAAGGTAGAACCTTATTTTTAGAACCAGCATCTGAGCTGGTGTATTGTTGTGTGTGATTAAACTCTAAGTTGGACAAAGGCAAATACAGCAGTATATTACTGTAATACTACCTCAGTATGAAGTGATTCTTGTGCTGACTTTACTTCACAGTAATAGAGCAGAGTAAAGACAGATACGCTCTGTATATTTGGTGCACACATTCACATATTATCTCTACCACTCTCTCTCATTCTCTCTCTCATTCTCTCACACACACACATGCAAACACACATTCTGTCGGGGAAGAAGCAGTGGTGCATCCTGGCCCATATTTCACCAGCAGGGGATAATTGTGCCATTTCTCAACGAGTGGCAGAGACTCTATTTACTGCATGCTGCGGTGGGGTGGGTGGCGGATATGAACTGATGAGATCCAAGAGGAAAACTACCAGCTCACACACAAACACACCCGCACACACACACAGCACTCACCAATCAGTAGATTGTCTCTCCTTTGCAGATAAACAGGCCGTTTGAGCCACGGAGATCCATAATCTAATGCAACAGAACAGGACTAATGTGCAGTATTTGATCGCACTGAGACACTCCAGAATAAGTACACAAGATGAGCAGGGAAGAGTGACGTTCTCTTGATTACACAGCACGCAGAGCAGAGTTAGTGAGTGCATTAACTCTGCCTTTATTGAGACTGAAACCGTGGAGAAATCAGAGGCTGTAGTTAGGAAACGCTCTACGTCTACACCCGAGTTTGATCCTTTCACACTTGCACCCTGAGAACTAATTTTTTTTTTTTTTTTTCAGATCATGTACTGGCCTTCAACAGTAACTGAGGTTTGGATGACGATTGATCAAACGAGTTGATAAAACACCACCTGATCGTCCAATAAGATCATGATGTGGGGAGACCTGTAAATCAGTGTGGAACGGCCACATACAGAACAGAGTGTCGAACATATGGTACGTGGGCCAAAACCGGACCAATAGGGGGGTCCAATAGGGCCAGCTTAATTCATTTTCTTGTGTTCGGGATATGATTAGTAAAATTATATTTCATTAATATGAAAGTTTAGCTCACATACTTACGAACTTCTCTTCATGAAAACAAAGGGGAAAAACATGGACTTATTGCTGTTTATGGGTAATTATGTTATGATTGTACCGGTTCGGCCCATTTGACATCTAATTAGGCCGTGGTTTAGAGGAAATGGAAGGAGTTATCGCTGTGAGGCTAGCATTAAAGTCGAGGGAAAAAAAATATGGTTTGCTCTTCAGAAGTTACTCTATAACTGAAATCCCATTTAGATCAGAGGTTAGTCATAACAGTTAATGTTATTCAGCATCACATGTGGATGACGGCTGAATCATCAGTGGGAATTAATGTGATGAGAAAAAACATCTCTTTCAATTCCCATCATATCTGTGCACTGGGTCCAACATTTATTAACCAGAGCCCAGTGTGAGGACGCCAACCACGGTTTGAAACTCTGCAGTCAAGTCAGGATACCAACTAAATATAACTATATCTAAAGTGATAAAGATAAAATAGCCGGCCCTACAGTAACTTCAGAGCCAACAGTAATGTTTTCCTGCCCGTGCTCCACTTCATTCATTTGCACACTGGTACCTGCCCTTAACTGTGTAGTTAAGCTGAGAAAACAAAAATAATAACGGTGTTCTTCCAGTCTGGGAGGCAGTTAAGAGGCTCGGAGATTTGGGACAATTCAGGGGAAGAGTTCTCATTAAAACTTTGTTTAGACTCCAGAGGAAGTGGAAGACGGTGGTTTTCAGATGCCAACTCATCGCTGCGCCTCCTTATCGTGCATCTTAAAGACTGGTACGCACCACCGAGACACTACGGCAGGATGAAAAGAGGAGGTGAAAGGAGGTGCCGTGGTCATGATGGAGACATTTGGAGACACCGTGTGTGTGTGTGTGTGTGTGTGCGTGTGTGTGTGTGTCCCTCTGCCTCTCTCCCAGCCAGGGCCTGGGGAGGCTTTGATGTGACAGAGTTGGTCCCTGTGGAGCCGCAGGTTTAACACAGTGATGCTGTGGCCTGGGATGCGGAGCCTGTCTCCTCTAATCCTATTTCAATCACTCTCGCCAGCTCTTATCTCTTACTGCCCCTCGGCCCCCTCCCTCCCCCCCTCCCACCTTTCCTCACAAATCGTCTCCTCTCACTTCCTCTCCCGCTGCCTCCCTAGCATCCTTTTACATTACGCTCCTTCCTCGCCTCCTTCATTCCCCTCCTTCCGTCGCCCGCTCCCATCTCCTCTCCTCCCTAACAGGAATCCAATGGCAATCATGCTGATGCAATATTGTATCAACCCTAAGAAAAGAGATGAAACTGCTTATGAAAAATAAAGGCCCTGGTGAACCTGATCCATCCTGATGAAAATGTACAAATTGAGCCGGTGTCTAACACGTCACTGCTTTGACAGCTGTCTGGACACTGAGACGTGATGAATCCTGAAGCTGAGCCGAGAGACGGCTTTTTAAAGAGGGCAGCTGCATGTACCAGTTTATACTTCATACCCCCTCTCTCCCCCCCACTCCTCTTATTGGCTGAGATGATTCAAGCATTCTATATTATTTCAGTTGTCAGAGCCGGGGGAAGTGAAAATGTGCCTGACTGTATAAAGGCGTAGAGGGAGCTGATGAGAACAAAAACATGTCAGTCTGCTGCTGTTGCTATCCTGGAATGAACAGAGTGAATCAGACACACAGAGACACTGCTGGAGTTTTTCATCTGCACTTCCAACCATCCATTTAAAAGCTGGGCTATAATTCAAAATAATATAATATAATTATAATATAATTGGAATATAACTCTAGAGATTATCATTACATCCTTAAAATCCCTTCTGTAAAGTGGTAAAGGTGCTGTTTTGCTGTTAGCAAGTAAGCTAAAATACACCTGTTAAAGATAATAACGTTAAAAATGAACAAACCTAACACTCAACCAACACAGGATACCTTTGAATTAGGTCTGACAAAAACTAAAAATGACTGCTCCTCTATGGTAAAGTTGGTCAGTTGGTCATTAATGCCTTTGTGCCTGCTCATCAAAATATTAGCAGAAGTACATTTAGACAAAATATCCACATGCTAGTTGTTTTCGTACATACATTTTATCAACAAATTATCGGACGTCAAAGGTCTCTTAATCTATAAGTAATTTCATCAAATCCAAACATATCTCTCAGCAGCCATACCTCAGTAGTATATCTGTGTACATTTACTGTAAATATTACAGTATGTTTTTTTTTCCCCCCAATTACTGACCATTGTTTTATGGTTTTCAAATATCTTCTACGCTGTGAAGAAGCCAGCATCTAAATTGAGACATCGTGCAAATTCCACTCTGGAGCTCTTATCAAAGCAAGACTCAAAGCGAGAATATTTTTTTCTTCTTCTTTTGTGTGGCACCGGTGCGCAATCCATTGCATTGCTATTTTTGGTTGAGGTGCACTTTGATTTCACAGTGAGAGAGACAGACAGAGAGAGAGAGAATGGCAGACTTCATATTCACTGTGAGTGAATTTACAGCTGCAGGCCTTCAGAACACCTGTGCAGGAGGATGAACAGGGTGCGAACGTTATGCCAGGGAGAACAATAAATTTAATTTAGCGCCTTTTGTAAGCGATATAATTGGAAGCATGTACTGTAGATACTGCAGCTGGAATTTTTTTTTCTTTTTCTAAAGTGTTCTCTGCTGAGGAATTTGCCTCATGTAAGGATGGTGCAGGAGACATCCATCATCCAGATTATCTACTCGCTCTCTGCAGAAATTATTTCACTGTAGGGCTTTAATAAGCTCAGGGAGGAAAGTATTTTTTGAAGGAGTGTTTGTAGCATTTATGTTGATGCTGAGGACAGAGGAACAAGAAACAGTGGAGTGTTCATTACTCTGACTGTGAAGTGTGGTAATACTGCAAAACACTTGCATATGTACAAGATATAATGAGTTTGTTTTCAGATCAGACTGAATTAATTGTACTTCATCACCTAATCCATTCATTTATCTCAAATCCCATAATCAGACAAATATATACCAGGGCTGTCAGAATGATGTCATCGATCATTTATGAAATTAATCGGATTAAAAATGTTACTGCCTCTCAACGCATACACAGAATAATATACACTGTGTATCCAGTCATTCCACACTTACTGTGTCTCTAACACAGTGTTGATGCACATGTTATTTACACACGCTGCTAGAAAACGTTTCTGTTCCACTGAAGGACCTGGAGCTAAAAATATAGATTATATTTTTCTGGACTTTTTCAGTATGAATAATTCCACCATTGTTCGTGTTCGTCGTTCCATTCCAGGAATATACAGAAAAAAAACAGGTTTTACGTCATATTTGATGATGATGATTTAGCAAATTTAATTATGATT